TAGATATAAATTTTGATATTTTTTTTTGTTTCTTGTGAGGCGATCTATTTCCCATGTAGAAGAGGAAGGGGTGGATCTTCTAGTCACGATACCTCTACCCTATACAGCTGGGGGCAGAGGAGTTGCATGTATCATACAATTTATTTATTTATTTATTTATTTATTTATTTATTTTTGCTTTTTGGACTTTTACTAGAAAGGCAGCATAGAGTGTGACAGTCTCACAGACTAAGGTTAGAGGGAGAATGCCAGGCAGGGCACCCCTGGAATATTAGTAATGGCAGCAGGAACAACCAAGCCACTATCACAAAGCGGGAGGTGAGACCAGAATGCGAAGATCCAGAGGGCTCCACAGGACCAGAGATTTGAAACCTCCTACCTTCTACCCTCATGCTCAGCCAGTCCACTATGCCCAGTATTTAAGAAGATGGTAAAAACACATCTTTCACTAATTTTTAATGGTTAATTTTTCTAATGACTGATCTTAATTTTCATGTTGATTTTAACTGAATTAATTTTATTCTGCTTTATGCTTTGCATTTTTTAATCATTATAAGCTGCTGCTTTGAGTGTTGGAGTAAACAGAAAAGTGGGGTATAATTTCAGTAATCAATATCAACTAAAATTGTGAGAAATAAATTCCATAATTAATCCTGGATCTAATTTTCCTCTTTAAATACATCTAATTCATAACTGGGAGAGGGAGTTCGCTCTGTTTCAAAATTAGATCCAATGGGTGGGCTTATACTGTTCCACAGTGTGATTCAGCACATTATGAGAACCAGTGTATTGTCTCATAATCTTATGTAAACTAGGGTGTCACTTTATTTCATTTTATTATTTCATTTTATTATTATTTATTAAGACCATTCAACTCCACAAAGATTCTGGGAGGCTTACAAAATTATGCCATAATATGGCTTACTTGGGGGGCATAGCATATAAATATAGCAATTATGTTTTATTAACTTGGGTTTAAAATTAAGGATGTTGTATAAATCCAGATCATGACAATTTTCTTGACTAAAAAAAAATACACATGCACTTTGCATTCTAGTATCTGCACTCAAGCACAAAATAATAAGGCCTAAAACCTAAGATAAGATGAGGGTTCCCTAAAAGGGCTTAGAACAGTGGTGCATGAACTATTCCAAACCTATCTTGAGCAGAGAGGCCTTGGACATTGGTCTTCCATCCAGCAACAAAATAAGCCTACAGACTGCCCTTATCTGCCCGATATTTGGACAGCAACGATGTCAGAGATG